TTTGCTATGAGATTATTTTGGTACTAGCCTTTCTTGAGGTTCTCTTTCCTCTGCTTGATCTTTTCCCTTCAATAACACATCATGGTCTCTTACGTTTTGTCAGATATCGATCATCATATCTCTTAACTCTTCTACCAAGCCATCTCTTCGGTTAGCTTGTTGAGGCACATCCAGTTGAACCTCAAGCATAGGTTCATCCTCTACTAGATGTCTAGACACTTGAGTGCTACGTGTAGATTGAGTACCTCTTCTTCTCATTTTCTCCCCTCCGGATGATGAAAGGAACATAAAGGTTAAGCAAAAAGGAAAAAATAGGTATAGTGAATAATATATAAGTTGTCAAAAACTAGGATGAATGCACTAATAAGCATATTACAAGATCTCAAAACTTGAGAAATTGATACCAACTAATAATGTATTAGTTGCTCTGATACCAACTAATAATGTAATACCCTTTACCAACATCACCATACACTCTACTACAATTAATCCTTCCTCATTTAAAAATCATTTACTTTAAGCTTTAAAAGCTTAGGATCCCAAGAAAAGATTTCAAATCATTTTATAAACCACTTGGGTTCTAAAACCTAATACATAAAACACATATACAACAAAAGCAATAAGTATACGGGTATTGAATGCTAAAAGAAATATGTGCATAGAAGGAAAACAAAGTGAAATCTTACACCGTGTGCCGAAACTTGTGCCACATACGCCACGGCATGTGGCACAGAGGTCACAATCACTCACTCTGTGCCATGCATTGCGGCATACAGGTACATACACCGTAGCACATATACTTGAATTTGTTGTCAAATGGCAGTTTCTAATATGCAATTTAAATGCGCCCTATTTCCACATATGATGTCTAATTGGGATGGTTCAAGTACCCACACAAAGCTTGATTCAAAATCTAACAAATGACATTGGTTTCAATTCAATTTGATATTTTTATCAAAATTAGACACCCAAGTGCATTTTAACCATTTTCTGCCAAAATCTTACCACTCGAGTGTCTCAATTCGAAACCAAATGTCATTAACCACTTTTTAAGCCTTAACTATGTCTAAATAGATTAATACACACTTAATTGACATACACATACACAATTATTGCTCACCGCAAGTGCACGGGTTGTAGCAAGTAATATAAAATGAGTAGAGTATTGTTCCCTCGAGGATTTATTTAGAAAACTATAATCAAGCAAAAGACTAAGTAAATTTGATCAAGTTGAGCTACACATAGTTAGGTGAAATGATTTTGCAAAGTGAGTGATTCACAAACTTCAAACACAATTTAGAACCTAGGATTATTTATCCCCCTTGCATTTCATAACACCAAAATTACCTCCTCTCATAAATGCTTTTAATAAGTGCTAACCTAAGGTTCTAAAAAATACTTGGACAAGCTCTCTCAAGTCATGAACAAGTGTTTAGTTAAATTAATTACCCAATTTCTTATTATAATTAATAAAACTCAATTTTAAACACCAACCCTAATGTGACTATGTAAGGCTAGCAAGTATATCTCTATCTTACTAGTAAAACCATCTATTCAACATGCAAATATCAAGTTCATACACAATATTACCCAAGTTCTACACTCAACCTAGCCCTTTCAAGCATCAATTAAGTGAACCCAACATCTAAATGGTGGCCAATCATGTAAAAGCATTAAGGAAAGAGTAAAATAAACACATATATATCATTAATCACAAAAAGAGAGGAGAAATATAGTGTTAATCCATACAAGGGTTCCAAATAATCCTAGAACAAAGGGTTTAGCTACTCATAATCATCCACAAGCTACAAATATACAAAATAAGTGGACCCATTTCAGATTACAAGAGAGGAAAGGAAAGAGGAATAGAAAAACCAATGAAAATGAGCTCCAAATGTTTTCAAAGCTTCAATCTCTTGATCCCAACTCTTTCAATACCCAAACCCTAGCACAATCAAGCTCCAAAAGTGTCTAAAAGTCTGAAGAATGCATTCTGGGTTGAGCTCTCAGCTTATATGTGTCCTAGCCAACTAATTTTTGATGAATGAAACGCAGCATTTTTCTGACAGCGACAAAAGTCACGAAAGAAAGTCACGACTTTGAGACGACTTTGGCAGTTTTGCACTATTTTTATAGCTAACGAAAATCATTCATTTTGTTCTTGATTTCTTCATCCAAAAGCCTTTCAGAAACATCCACAAAGCTTCAGAAATGCTTCTAATCAAAACTTCAATCAAAATAACATGAAATTAGGCTAAAAATATCAAATCAAAGCCAAGAACATAAGCCCAAAACAAAATGCACATTTTTCTAATTTGGGAAATAAAAACATATACAATTGAACCAAAATGGATTAGAATCTAAGGAAAATGTGATGAAATAACATGAATTTCTAGATGTTAACACACCCCCAAACTTAGATTTTTACTCATCCTCGAGTAAAACAAGTAATCAAACAACTAGTTGTTCTAAATATATATTAAAGAGGATAGCAGTGAAATATAAAGGAATGCTTGATTCACAAATTAAGATCATGCTTTCCAACAATTTAGAAATGTGTGTATGTGAGACCAGAGAATGATTTTCCTGCAACTATCAAGTCAAAATGTAACAACTCAATATGCATGAAACAAGCTCAATATCAAGACTTCATATGCCTAAACTCTTCTTCTCTCTCCACTAAAAGATCACTTCATATAATTCAAAATCAATGGGACTTTGTAAGCTTGTAGCGTGGCCGAAGATTTTGGGCTAATTGAAATGAAAGGATAAATGGAATTCAAAGAGCTTGAGATAAATGACAATGAGAAGCCAACTATTCCATCCTTACTAGCCAAATACTTTCCCCCAAACTTATCTCAAATACCATTCCTTATGCTCCAAATTTATTGATATTGAAACTATTTCTTTTTGTAATTTTTTTCATGTATATTTCTATTTTTTTATACTTTTTTTAGGAGCACAATTAGTAGAATTCCAAACTTCATTTCCATTAACAACACCTCCTTGAATAACTAAACCAGTTTTTCCCACTAGCACACAATTTTTTTATCACTTATCTCAAGAGTAAGGTAGTTCATGATTTTTCAAGTTGTAGAGGCTAGGGTCTAATGTAGGTTTCAAAAATAAAATACATGAAGTTTTCAATTCCAGGCTCAAAAAGGGGTTCAAGTAGAAATGATGCAATAGGTGGGCTTAAAAGGCTTAAACACAATTGAAAGAATGCCCAAATCATATTTTAATATCATGCGAAGTGATTAAAATGCCACAAGAGATTCCAAGATAGGTTCTAGATTTTCTCAATTGAGAAAGAAAATGCACATCAACTTGCCATAAAATTTCCTAATAGAGGCATTCAAATCATTGTCTGATTTAAAAGTGCAAAAAAAAAATTTTTACAAATTACTAGAAAGCAAGCCTTAACCCTGCAATTCAAGCATACCAAAATATTGCTCACAACTTCCTATAAAACATACAATTTAAGCAACATTCTATCATTGGATCATGCATTCTGTTCAATAAATAATTTCTCAATCTTGCTCAAATTTCAGAAGAGAGGATAGTAAATAGCTAAGTTTTAAAATTGAAGTTCATGTCAAATCAACCAAAATAATACCCTCACCCCCAAACTTAAATTGAACAGTGTCCACACTGTCAAAAAGGGTAAAATGAGGGCCCTCTCTCATGCAACTTAACAAGCAAAAAGAAAGTGTATGAGAGGCACAAAAAATTAGAAACCTGTAATAGTATAATTGAGATAAATCTACAGGCAGTCTAAAAAATACAACTAACTACACTAGCATGTACACAAGTTATCAAAGAGTAATTAGTTGTAAGAGATTAGTCAAGGTATCACATATTAGCTACAAAAAGATCAAAGTTAGCTCTGCACAAAAGATATTAGAGGATCATGGCTAACAATATTTACCCAAAAAGAACTAATCAAAAGCTAATTAGAATTAACAATAGAAATAAAAGGCAGTAAAGTAAAGAAGGGTGAAGCTAGTCAGCGTGAGTGTCTATGTCTTGGCCAACATCATTATTGGCCTCCTCTTCTTCTTCTAGCAAGTCCATCTGAAATCTCTGATGCAAGAATAGCTCAATATGGTAGAGCCTGGAGTCAATCTGATCTAGTTGGCTCTGGAGGCCCTCATGTATGTTTTGGATGAGTGCTGTAAGGTTGCTCAGTATAGGCTCAACATGAGGTGGATCAATATGCCTCCTACCATTCGTAGCTTAATCTGGTACACCTCTTAGTCCCTCAGCATACTGAATTTCTCTATAATTAAACTTTGGCAAAGGAGGGAGCATGAGATCCTTCGGATAAGTGGGAACCTTCTTCTCTAAGCACACTTGAGTAATCAAGTATGGGAACCCAAATGCCTGCTTGCGATATCTACTTCTAGGCAACTTCTGCATATACTCAAACATGATTTTTGGAAAGTCAACAGGTTGCCTCATTATCAAGGTATATAACAGGGTAGCTTGATCAACAGTCACATCACTCATATAGGTTACTGCGATCACATTTGATGCTAAGAAGTACCACCATATACGAGTTGTCCTGTTCAGATTATAGCGCAGAATACTCTTGGGATTGCCATGGGTGTCATGTTGCCAAATATTTTTATTAGGAAGGCATAACACTCGGACTACATCATCAAATAGCAATTGAGTTCTATCATTCTTGTAGACAGTATATTGGCACTCTTCTATGGGAGAAAGGTTGTACACCTTTCAAAATGTGTCCTCAGTGATCTCTACCCATTTGCCCTGTACCTTACATTGCAAGGTATCCTTGCAAGCAGCGTAGGCATAAAAAGCTTCCACAAGTAGTTGAGAGGCATGGCTTTATTCACGGATGAGGCTAGTGGCATGATATACATCATGCAAATCATTATAAAATTGCTTAGACCATCTCAAAAGGAAGGGTCTTTCTTGAACTATTTTTCTTTCCTTTAAATTTTGCTTAAAATAATCTTGAATCGCAGAGTGGCAAATCAGGTTTTATCCCATCCCGATCCCTTGGAACTTTCACCAACCTCAATGACCTTAGCTTTTTTTGAAAGAGGGACACTTTTCTTACCCATTACCTGCAAGAAAGCACTCAATGCAATACCAATGAGCAACAGCCAGTATAAGGAAGAATGAAGGTTCAAACATAAAGCAAACAAGATTAAATGAAGCTAGCACAAAATGGCACTTTACATAACATGTTTAAACAAGGTCTAGCTTCCACATAACTGATTTGAACTAAGGATTCAAAACATGAAGAGCAAAGCCAAGTCCAGAATCAAGAAGCATGACAGTGAGTGTTGAGCACAAGTCACAATCATAAGCTCAAGTTTCATAATGAGAGCATTCAACTAAAGAAATATAGCTCATTCATGCTTACCAAATTCAACTTGTACAAGTATGCCAACAATATCACTTTTTTTTATCCTTCTAAGTAAGCCAAAAATGGAATTATCAATATATAAATAGCCAATCACACCCACAAAACTATGAGAGAAGAAAAAAAATACCAGGAATAGAGCTTAAAATTCAATGCAGCATACTGGTTGTTTAAACATGTTGAATTCCTTGTCGCCCCTACCTCTGGATTTCCTATCCACTTCAGCTGCCATTGTTCTTAAATCACTGAGCTGTAACTGTCATATGCAACAGCCATTTGAATGTCAAAATCAAGCTTTAGGATCCGTTTTACTCGCTCACAGGTTCTGAGTTTATTAAAAAAAAATTTCTCTACCTTTCCACTTTGTTTAGCCTATTTTGATCTGATAAGGATGCTGAAATGTCAAACCATTATTTTCCTTTGATTATTGATCGAACTGAATGCAAATGTGTTGTGAGCTTGCAAGAATGCAATGTTCTTTTAAGGATTATTTGCACAGTCATTTTGCCATTGGCGTTGTTGCCTTTTATCTGCCTGTGCTACTTAAACTTTAACCCGTGAGCTTAGAGCTTAAATCTTGTATTTGGAATACTTAAGGGAAGATACTATTAGTTTTTGGGGTCTGGACATGTTATTATGGCTAGTTAAATTCTTTGAATGGGATAGGATTGAAATTGCTTTGCTGGATATTTTTCCTAGTTGAATTAGACCTATTGTAAAATGGCTGATGGAAGATTCAACTTGCTTGAGGCATCTTTTGTATGTTCTGTGATTCAAATTGACAAGAATTATGTAATCATATTGTTGTTTGGTTCTAAATAATCCATTTTACAAAAGATGGATTTGCTACCCAGGGTTGTCGGCATTCAGATCTGAAGCAGTGATTGAAGCTTGGGAAGGAGAAACAGGGATGAATAACGAAGAAACACCCTTGAGCTTCCATGCACAGCTATGGCGGAGAGGAAGTTACAGTAGCAGATGGGGATGGAAGTTACGGTGAATAGTGTAGCTTGAATGGAAAGGGCAGAATGAGAAGGAAATAGTGGCTGCCAGAAAAGGAGAGGGACGCCGTAAACACTGGAAGTGGAGGCGCAGGGATGTGATGGTGAAAGCAGTGAAACAGAGTGGAGGTTGATGGCAAAGGTGAGAGGAGATGAGAGATAGACTGTAGGCGAGATATATCAGAGGAGAGCCGAGAGTTTTCAAAATTTGGGTGATTTTTTTAAGACAAACCGTAGACGCTGGAAGAAGGATAAGAAATTTTTTTTAATATTATAGCTATATAAAACTATATCTATATATACATTATTTTTAAATACCGTAAAACATAACACATAAGGAAAAGAAAAGAAAAGGACAAAAAAGGAAAAAAAATATTAATATTATATATATTATTATTAATATTATAAAAAGAAAATTTAAATTTTTTTTTCAGACAGGTCCAGAGGAGATGAAAGTCATGACTTTGGATTTAAGACTGAAATGAAAGTCATGACTTTGACCTTCTCTGGAATCTCAAAGTCGTGAGCCTAAAGTCATAACTTGTTTACCCCAAAGTCATGACTTTGACCTTCTTGACAGCAAAATTCTACAGCACCCTGTTTTCAAAAATTTGATTTGTTTACCCCTTAAAACCTCTTTCAAGCACTCAATTTACTCTAAAATCAATCTCTAACCATCATTCATCAACCATACACAATTTCCTTCAATTTAAATGCAATTAACCCCCAAAAAGAACCATTTTTCATAGGAATCAAACCATAAAAAATTGCATTTACTTCAATAAGCTCAAAATAATTGCCAAGACAAGTTTATAAGCATAAAAACAACTTAAATAGCTTGACTTCCCTGAAATTTTCCTTCCTCTTGTGCTCTTTTGTTCTTTGGCCACATTTCTTGCTTCTCCAAAGGCTTATACTTCCTCATATCTTCTTGTTAACCTATAAAAGAGATAAGATCACACATAACTTCACCAAAACAACTAAACTACAAAAGAAAAATCAAAAGATAAGGTTTAAAGCTTGGGTTTCCTCCCAAGTAGCGCTTGTTTTATAGTCATTCATCCTGACTCTTCTCTTCTTCAAGAGGCATCAGATAAGGGCAAGGTGATTGCTTCACGGTCTACCTCATCACCCCAGTAATGCTTCATCATTGTCCATTGACTTTAAATCTTTCTCTTTCATTGCTCTCTAGCTCAATAGCACCATAAGGAAATGCTTAGACCACATTGAATGGTCCCGACCATCTAGACTTGAGTTTGCCAGGAAATAATCTCAATCTAGAGTTATACAAGAGTACTTTTTGGCCTAGCTCAAATGCTTTGCATAAAATTTTCTTGTCATGCCATCTCTTTGTCTTCTCCTTGTATTGCCTAGCATTCTCATAGGCATTTAACCGAAATTCATCAAGTTCATTCAATTGGAGAAGTCTCTTTTCACCCACGGCTTTAAAATCAAAGTTGAGCTTTTGGATAGCCCAATAAGCACCATGTTCTGGCTCTACAGGTAGATGACATGCTTTTTCAAAAACTAACCGGTATGGAGACATGCCTATAGGAGTTTTATAAGCCATTCGATAAGCCCACATGCATCGTCAAGTTTGGTGGACCAATCTTTTCTTACCACTCCTACCGTCTTTTCAAGTATCTTCTTAATTTCTTGATTAGAAATCTCAGCTTGCTCATTAGTTTGTGGATGGTAGGCAAGTGCAACCTTGTACTTGACACCATATTTCTTCAAGAGAGATTGAAATTGATTGTTGCAAAAATGAGTACCACCATCACTCACAATGGCTCTTGGTGCTCCAAAGCGGGTGAAAATATGGTTCTTCAAGAACTTGAGCACTACTTTAGCATCATTAGTAGGAAATACTACCGCTTCGATCCATTTTGAGACATAGTCTACAGCAACAAGGATATATTGATTGTTGAAAGACATGGGAAATGGTCCCATGAAGTCTATGCCCCATATGTCAAACAATTATACTTCAAGCATGTTGTTGAGTGGCATTTCATTCCTTTTAGAGATGTTACCCATCCTTTGGCACCTATCACACTTTAAAACAAAGTTATATGCATCCTTGAATAAAGAGGGCTAATAGAAACCATTTTGCAAGATTTTAGATGCTATCTTGTCACCCCCAAAGTGGCCTCCATAGTCAGAAGAATGGCAACATCTTAGAATTTCTTATTGCTCACACTTAGGAACACACTTTCTGATCATTTGATCGACACATTGGCGAAACAGATAGGGTTCTTCTTAAAAATATAACTTAGCATTATGGAAAAACTTCTTCTTTTAATGAAACTTCAAATCAAAGGGCAAGATGCCACAAACAAGATAGTTGACAATGTCTGCATACCACGGTGTTTGAATATTGTCAACCTTAAAGAGTTGCTCATCAGGAAAAGCTTCATCAATAACAACATTAGATTTAAGTTGAGCATCAGTACTCAACCTAGAAAGATGGTCCACTACTTGATTCTCAGTACCCTTCCTATCAATAATCTCTAAGTCAAATTCTTGTAGAAGTAGTACCCATCGAATTAACCTTGCTTTAGACTCCTTTTTGCTGAATAGGTACTTCAGAGCTAAATAGTCGGTGTAAATTGTCACTTTAGTACCCACAAGATATGATCTAAACTTGGTAAAAGCAAACACTACTGCAAGAAGCTCTTTCTCAGTCGTGGTATAGTTTTATTGAGCATCATCAAGTGTTCTGCTAGCATAGTAAACTGGGTGAAGCACATTTTCTTTCTTTTGGCCAAGCATAGCACCCACAGTAGAGTCACTAGCATCACACATCACAATAAAAGGCAAATTCCAATCAGGAGCCATCATGATAGGCGTAGACACAAGTCTTTTCTTCAACTATTCAAATGCTTTCAAGCATGAATCATTAAATTTAAATTCAATATCTTTCTCAAGAAGAGTGCAAAGAGGCTTGACTATTTTAGAGAAGTCTTTGATGAAGCGGTGATAAAATCCCGCATGGCTAAGAAAACTCCTCACACCCTTAACATTAATAGGTAAAGGAAGTTGCTCAATCACTAAAATTTTGGCTCTATCTACCTCCAAGCCATTTTTGGAGACTCTATGGCCAAGAACTATGCCCTCCTTAACCATGAAGTGGCATTTTTCCCAATTTAAGATCAAGTTAGTCTCTTTACATCTTTTCAACGCATTGGCTAAATTGATCAAACACTCCTCATATGAATCCCCAAAAACCGTGAAGTCATCCATGAAGACTTCCATAGTTTGCTTAATCATATCAGAGAAAATTGCTATTATACACCTCTGAAAAGTGGTCGGTGCATTGCATAACCTAAAAGGCATGTGCTTGAAAGTAAAAGTTCCATAAGGACAAGTGAATGTCGTTTTTCTTGATCCTCTGAAGCTATGGCAATTTGGTTATAGCCTGAATACCCATCAAGAAAACAAAAGAATTCCCTTTCAGCTAATTTGTCAAGCATTTGGTCAATAAAGGGAAGAAGAAAGTGATCTTTCCTAGTAGCCGCATTTAGCTTCCGGTAATCCATGCATACTCTCCACCCAGTGACAGTGCGAGTAGGAATTAGCTCATTGTGGGAGTTAGCCACTATAGTCATGCCTCCCTTTTTTGGAACGCATTGAACTGGGCTCACCCAAGAGCTGTCAGAGATAGGATAGATAATGCCTACCTCAAGCCATGAAAATGAGCTCCAAATATCTTCAAAGCTTCAATCTCTTGATCCCAACTCTTTCAATGCCCAAACCCTAGTACAACCAAGCTCCAAAAGTATCTAAAAGTTTGAAGAATGCATTTTGGGTCGAGCTCTCAGCTTATATGTGTCCTAGCCAACTAATTTCTGATAAATGAAACACAGCATTTTTCTGACAGCGACAAAAGTCGCGAACGAAAGTCACGACTTTGAGACGACTTTGGCAGTTTTGCACTGTTTTTATAGCTAACGAAAATCATTCATTTTGCTTTTGATTTCTTCATCCAAAAGCCTTTCAGAAACATCCACAAAGCTCCAGAAATGCTTCTAATCAAAACTTCAATCAAAATAACATAAAATTAGGCTAAAAATATCAAATTAAAACCAAGAACACAAGCCTAAAACAAAATGCACATTTTCCTAATTTAGGAAATAAAAACATATACAATTGAACCAAAATGGATTAGAATCTAAGGAAAATGTGATGAAATAATATGAACTTCTAGATGTTAACAACAATATATCACACATACACATGTTTGGCCTATAAACCACCCATTTCACACTTTAGGCCAAAATTACATTTTCACTTCTTTAATCCATACAAGGCTAATTCACTATCTATCAACTTCAACCATCACCTATTCAAACATATATACATTCATCCACTAGTCCATTCAATTATTTCACCATTTACACATATATATACAAGGCTAGGGAACTTAAAATCATCAAACATACCATAATATGCACATGCTCAAGTCCTAAGGCAACTTATACATATTTACAACCACTAATAACAAATTCCTTACACCAATTCTTACAAAGACTTATGAGAGAGTTGCCAACTCAATCTATATCTTTTCCCTCTAAACCACTAACACTAGAATCTAAAAAAATGTAAATAACCACGGGTGAGATAAAAATCTCAGTAACTAATATAGCTCATTTAATGCCTATTACCACAAATAACCATATTAAAGTAACAAAATAAAGTAATATCATATATATATATATATATATCTAAGTATGAAATGATCCTTCTTTACAAAGCAAATCCCACCCAAATACATACTAGCATGATCATTTAGCCACCAAACCTCCAATGCTCTCTGATATGAAACCATAGGCTCTCCTAGATCAACAACTTGTCGACCTGAGCATATTTTCTATGGTAAAAACACCCGGCTAAAGGTAATCTAACCCACTTATGGACTATGGTTTTCCCCTTCGCGTATTTGTGATAGAGGTGTTGTTAACTCCTCACCATACCCTAACAAGCACCAGGGAGTTGCCAGACTACCTAGATATCCTATGGTAATAGTCTTATAATATGCTGTATCGGATTACCTATGGTACCAGCCCATATAATGCTGCACCAGATGTCCCATGGTGCCAGCTTGACTATATGAATTTTTAACTCACATATCTCCACACATGTATATTCCCACATATCTTGAGTGAACTTCCACCCCCTATGATCATGCTCTTTCACAATTTCCACTACTTGCTTTCACATTTCCACACATATATTGCCATAATATTATATATATATATATATATCATTTGAAGTTAATTAACCTTTTAGATTGCATTTCATAAACCAATGTCCATGCTAAAATCATTTTTAATAACAAATCATGTACAAAACTCATAAAACTGCAATTTCTCATTTGTTGTTTACTTCCACACAGTTATAATAGTTAACAAACATAATAAACTATATAGTTACCTTAACCCTTCTGTTTACTAGAAAGGGTTACTTGTGTTCCAACAACCCTATTCTAGTTCCTTTCTCATAATTCATGCATCAAACACTAATTGCTATCAAAATTACTATTGACAAATGGGGAAAATCATTGCTATCAAATCTGGGCATAATTAGCATTTAGAGTCAATTTTACTATTAACAAAAAGTGTCAATTATTGCAATAACACACCTAATTGCTATCAAATCTACATTTCACACTCGATTACACATATCACCACTAATTACCCCTCATTTCAAGCTCTAACATTTCTAACCAATTTTCTCATACTACTCTCTCTAGATTAAGGCAAATCTTGCCTATAGCTCCAAAACTTAATCATTTTGACTCAAACCAGTTAAAAAGCTCTAATTTAGTTCTAAAGAACCTTTTTATTACTATAAGGCAAGAAATCAACTCCTTAAAGCTCCTGCATTCAATTTCTCAATAGTTAAAACTAAGAGAAAATGGGGTAGAATCAAAGGTTAAGGTAGTACGTGACTTACTTGATAAATAACAGGTCGAAAACACCATCCTTGCTCCTGATTATGCTGCCCTAACACATCTACTACTCTTCTCCATACCAGAACTCCCCTTCCACATTTCTCCTTTCTATTTCATGAGGACACATCTATATTAATTTGATTTATGTACCATGCACCACAACACATCTATCCCCCACCGTAATATGTGGCATAGTTAGGGAAATCCTCACTATGCTCACATGCTCTGCTTCGAGACTTCGCTCTTCTACTCATATCTGTTCATATAACATCCCAATAAGTCAATAACACTTCACTACTTATAACCCTAATACTATATTAAATCATTAATTCATTCCTAATTAGTCATTAACGTAGGATTAGAAATTCAAGATGTTACATGAAGCTTAACTCATAAGCTAACTAATGAAATAGGTTTGGACACAATCTAATAGTCCAATCAAAATTTAGACACCTGGGGATAAAAAATCACTTTTTATAAAAATTTAGCACATCCAAGCGCTCAAATTAATCCCTTAATCTCATTAGACCATTTAGGCCTTGAACTAAATCTAAAAGGACCTGTTACACCTAATTGATATAATATATCATACATATACACATATATCAAATTTAGTTGTTTGATAGCCCATTTTCACTTTTCTTAACATTTCACCAAGCACACGAATTTGGTCATTTTCACCACAAATTATCACAAATTTGCTTTGCTCACTACTATCACATTCACAACATAATCACAACTAAATCTTAACCCTAAATTACTCATTTCATCACATAATTTCACACATGGGCTAAGATTCATCATCACTGAAACCATAGTTTGTGGTTCATTTGTCCTCCATATCTACTCGAATTTTTAACCGATACTCATCCTTAAGCTATGCTATCCTTAACTCTCTCTAAAACTCATTGGTAATATTGGTAATCTCTATGAAAAGTAAGCTATACAGAGTTAATTCCAGTGAGTCATGCTTAATATCCAAGTAGGACTCTAGCAATCT